GGTACCGGCAAGCTTGTCTGGAAGGAGGTGACTCCGCGACCACCCAACAATGCCCCGGCCGTGGGTAAGTTGATGCCGCTCGTTTGGCAAGAGCAGCTGCTTTACTTGGAGGTTCATGTTCTTGGGTGGTTGCAAGACGATGTACACTAAGCAGCTCAACTGAAGCGTGTGTGGACCTGCAACAAGCATGCATGCACAGGCTGACACATGACTTCGGCACAACCTCATATCTGGGTCCCCGTTTTCCAAGGACTCCTAGAAAAGCGCGTGCAAACCCAACGACGCAAACCACAACTTGAAGGAATCTGGACGGCATGTCCGTGGTCCAGCCGTTATGCCAGCAAGTCATGCAAGGACCCTTGGAGTCTCGTGGCTCAGGGCAGCAATGACTGGGGATGGGGGATCTTCGGGCCTCGAAGGATCAGCTTTGCTTACTCTTTCAGGGCAAAGTCGTGCTTAGTGTCGAGAGCTGAGAGCTTGGTCTTTAATTTGCAGGATCTGCGATGCGGAGCGGGCACGTCAACAGCCTTCAATCTTCTTTTGGCCATGAGTCGTATGATTGCGAATCAGAGCCTCATGGTAGTCGAAGTAGCAGTAGTAGTGGTAGTAGTAGTAGTAGTAGTAGTAGTAGTAGTAGCAGAAGCAGAAGCAGAAGCAGAAGCAGTAGCAGTAGCAGTAGCAGTAGTAGCCGTCGTCGTCGTCGTGGTAGTACTGGTAGAGGAACAGAAGCAGCAAGAAGAGTTGTACGAGCACAGACCTGGAGCAAAAGCCGCAGCTTCAAGAGCAACCGCAATCGTCATTGTCATGGTCGTCGTGGCTAATGGGACAATAGGTTGCCTCTACAAGATGAAGGCAGTAATAACGACGGACGCAACACAGAATTACGTGAGGAGCAGCAGTGCTAAGTAGTACGACCTCTACAAGACCGCCTGTCAAAAAACAAAAATTGGTATGACAGCGACTTCCATCGCCGTTATATCATCAAAGTCCCCAGCAGCAGCACGACCATGGTGCATCAGTATCGCCATTCGAAACTTTTGCACGGTTTGCCTGTTGCTGCGCATCATGAACACGATGATCATCACCAGCATCGTCGTCATTATCGCCGCCGTCATTCCCCTTCCAATCCACATCGTCGTCATCATCACCATCGTCAGCAGCATCTCTGTTGCCATTTGTCATCATTTTTGGCCATCGCCATCGTCACGATCTTCAACATCGCGATCAGCAGCAGCCGAATCATCTTCTTGATCGTCCTTATCACTCGGATACGGTTCGTCGTCATTACGATCACCAGCAGCCCCATCACCATCATGATGATGATGATAATGGTAATGATGATCATCATCATCAGCAGCAACAACATCTTTTGCATCATGCTAACCGTAAGTCGCCGCAAGCTCTGCGCACTATTGACCCGTTGACGTCGTGTGATCAGTCCAATGTATCATGGCTTTATGCAGGAGCGCACTGTGATGTTCACGTCTACAGCGCGGACACGGGAGCCTTACAATGGGTTCCATTTCTGAATTCAGAGGATATCTTGGAGAGAGATTGCGGGAGCCAATAGACAGACAATTATACACGTGTTTGCATTCGCCTTCCGGTCACAATCCGGTTGCGATAAAAGCATGGCACAGGACTCCTGAGGACGACCCCGTAGCAGCTGCTCATTTGCTGGGCTTCACAATCACGGACATGGTTCGTTTCAGCAGCTATCCGATTTTTACGTTCAGGGGATCACTTGGCGATTGTTGTGACTTCCTGGCTGGAGACCAGGTCACCAGGTGTGGAGAAGTTGTGATGTTGTGCACAAGCACAGCCAGAATGAAGCTTTAAGTACAAGTTGCTTCGGGTCATTCAGCAGAGTGTCCTCAGCACTACCTCAACATAGACCCATGGATGCCTCAAAGACGGCTCCAGCTCCTGCACGATGTCACATCGCTCAACATCTCCCCAACTACCACAACGGAGAAGAGACCACATCGTCAACTGCGTAAGAACATGTAACCAAATACCAACCGCATGCTCTCATGTTGGGCTTTCGAGTGGACCCGAGAGCCCCTTCGTGCCAACCAAACGACAGGGACCTAGACAGTAGTAGTAGTAGTAGTAGTAGTAGTAGTAGTAGTAGTAGTAGTAGTAGTAGTAGTAGTAGTAGTAGTAGTAGTAGGCACCCCCCACCCCTACCAACTACACTTGCTCTCAACCATGGTAAGACAACATCCATTTTACTCGGTATTTACGGCACTTTCGTCATGTGCGATCATCCTAACAGGCCTAAAAATCGACTTGTCGAGTTTGCAAACTCGGGCTCTTGATTTTGGACTTGCTTCTGGGGGTGGGTGGGGGGGTGGGGGGGGGGATGATGACGACAGTGTTACGCGAACACACCCAGCAGTATCACCACAAGAGCCGTTTAACTCGTTATTTACGGTACTTTCGTGATGTCAGACATTGTTACAAATTCTGAGCCCCTACTTCTCGTCTATGCGTATTAAACTTTGCTGTTTGGAACTGTTTGCAAAAAAACTCGAAATTGGGTGGGGGAAAGCTTCTTCGGGGATGATCACGACACTGTTTTGCGGACACCCTGAACAATATTTCCACACTCAAGCGCGCACACACCACACACACCACTTCAAAAACAGACCCTCCTACGCAGAGGTTGGGCGGTAGGGGTGTTGGCGAGCCCCTCCCACGTACAGCTGGCATCTTTGTTTTTGATGTTTAGAAGATGTTGCGCTTCAGGTTCTGAAAATGTTAAACCCTTCTTGGCAGCACCTGGGTTTTGCACGGTATTTACAGCGTTTTCGTACTATCCGACCGCCTGCGGTTTAGCTGTTTCTTCCCCGTCGAGCTTGCAACTCCGGCTGCTGTCGCAGTTTTGGGGCTTGAGCCCTTGCAACTTCACCGGTTGTGACAGTTAAGGAAACGGAGCCCCTGCAACTTCTGCAGCTGTCGCAGATAGGGAGCTTGAGCCCGTGCATCTTCTGCAACTGTCGCAGTTAAGGCCCCTAGCAGCTGCCGCTGCCCAGCCCGGATGGAACAAGTGTAGTTGGTAGGGGTGGGGGGTGGCTAGTAGTAGTAGTAGTAGTAGTAGTAGTAGTAGTAGTAGTAGTAGTAGTAGTAGTAGTAGCAGTAGTAGTAGTAGTAGTAGGAGGAGGAGGAGTAGTAGTAGTAGGAGGAGTAGTAGTAGTAGTAGTAGCAGTGACCATCCCCGAAAACGAAAAGGTGTCGGCAGAGACGGCCTATGCAACAGCACGGCCTTAGCGGCAGTTGCAGTCGCTTTCTTCTAACACGAATGGGCCGGATGCCGAATGACCCTCGAAGTTTGCCGATCCTACCATCAAAGCACACCGCGGCAAGTTTGTGTCAACATAGCCACAGGGACACCAAGCAAGCAGAGCCCAATTATTTGTCTAGCGCGCGAATTACAGACTTCAAGAAGCTACGGCCATGTGTGTCGGCCTCCGCAACCTCAACCGTTCAGATTCAGATGCGAATGAAGGTTTTCCATGGACCCGCGCAAGCAGGCGTTCTGCAGGCAGGACCGTCGGGTGAGCCACAGCCGAGCACGACGACACTCCCAAGCACAGGAAGGTAGTGTTCCAGTCTCTATACTCATCGTACAAGAGTTGGAGCTGGCTGAATTAGCGAGTCCATCACTGAACACATGCCAAGTTAAGACGGCTATGGCGCACGGTAGCAGCGGACCCCGAACCTCGTTGCAGGCCGGAGATGCCGAGGGCCTCGAAGACCGCCGATACTTTGTCATAGTTGGGTAACCTTTTACGTTTTTATGGGTACTTAAGACTTAAACCCAACAAAGAATATAAAATGAAATTTTTATTCCTATCCCAGCCATGAACTAGGATACATGGGCATCCGCGACGCGTGCCTGCCAAACGGCTGGAGTGTGGCTTGCCCGCAGCATCAGGAAAGTATTTTTTAGGGTCAAAACCCTATTCTAATTAGTACCGTCAGGGACGACAGGTGGACGTTGGGGTTGACTTCCGCCTAGAAGCCGAGTGCGGTCTGTCACCAAAGAAGATGGTTGCTGCAGGCACCTTGCATGGAGGCTTCCCCATCAAGGAGGTAGGTACACCAGCCGTAGAATGCTGTAATAGAACACACCATATCCCCGCCAGCAGAGGCAGCTTTTTAGATGCGAGAAGAAGCTTACTAAGATTCTAATTACCACTACTATAATACTAATAACACTAATATACAACTGTTGCTATACTAATGCCGCGCAGCGGTGTATGGACAGTAGAGTGAGGGGCCAGTCCGGGGGGGTCCGGTTTTGGATTTTTTGGTCTGTGTTTGAGGCAAAAGGGATGTTCATAATTGTGGATTTTGGTTTGGGCTTGAGGGGTTAGGGTTTGAGGGGGTTCCGAACGTGTGGCGTTTATGATACCACAACAGGCAAAAACAGAAACTAACTTGGTACTCGTTGGACGAATCACTCTTGTTCGACATCATCTCGTCGCCACAAGAGCTCATGGACAAGAGAACATAAGAGAACATCTGGCCATTCCCAAGCCGCGTGCTTGTGTCACCGAAAGCAGGCTATCCTATTTGATCCTGTTCACCAGACAGGGACATTCGGGCAGACATGGCACCTCACTCCATTTATTCACACTATGTGTTGCAAAGCGCTCGCTGTGGGGTCGCTGGCCTTGCTGATGACTTCGGGGCCTGTTGTTGTCGTTGTTGTTGGGATCGCAGAGTCAAAGCCCTTCCCTTGTTCCCATTAACTAATCGGTTCTCCTTCAACTGCTTCGAGGCGCCAACTATCGACGCCGACGGCACCGTGTTTGTTGGCCACGAAGCGCCTAAGATTGCACTTCGTACTTGCTCTCTGGTCGAGGGTTTTGTGGAACCAAGGCCAACAAGCGGGAATAGCAGGGTTTCAGCAGCTGCTTTTTGCTGGGATCGGCTGTTCTAGAGTTCACGAATTATGCTACGCCGTGTCGTGCCCCAACATCCGCTTAGTCTCAGCCAACACTGCTTCCAAAACGATCGCCAAATCGGAGACGGACAATGATTGCAACAAGCTGACCATGCTCCAGGATGGACTTTTCTTTGCTCTTCGCGACGCCAACGGCGATGGTGTGATCGTCGGCGACAACGAGGTGGGATCTCACATGTCGCCTTTTTGTGGTGGGTTCATGCTGAGCTTGCGGTTTCTGTCCCGTGGAATCGTGTCGTAGAATCTCCACAAGCCTTACGCAGTCCCAGAGATCTGCGGGCTTAAAGCTCAGGCGCTTTTGGGTTGCCCGATATACTCAGTCTAGACTCTAGATGGAACACCACCGAAAGGACCTCCCTCCAGTAAAGCATGTTGCCTCTGACAGGCCTCGATGTCGTTACTAGTATACTGCTGCGACGTTCGTTGAGTGGTATGTACATGCCTACAGAGGTTCAGACTTGTGAGTTACGATGAGGGCTCGCTAGTTGGCCTCCATCCCTCACGTCATGGAGGTTTCCGAAAATAGGGGACCCTAATCTAGTACCCTAAAAAGTAGGATCCCCTAAAAAGTAGGATCCTTGATATGAGGACCCCCAAAATAAGGTACCCCTAATTTTCCGAAACCCTAAACTCTAAGCCCTTTATAGAACCCTTGTAGATAATTTAAGGAGCCCTTAATGGATCCCTTTAACGGTAACCCAATTTTTCGGAATTCTCCCCAGTCAGAGGTGCAGAACTACAGCACCGGATCGGCCTTCTCCGGCTCCTCTTCCCCATCTGTTGGCCCAGGCCGGACTTGCAGCAGACCTCTGTTTAGGGTTTAGGGTTCGGTACTATAAGGGCCTTAATAATTAGAAAAGGGTTTTGGGGCCCATTGTACTGTAACTATAATAAGGAACCCCCAAAATAGGTATTGGTAATTATTTAGGCCCCTACGGTACCTGCCTAGCGGCCCGAAACCACAACCTTTGCCAAAGACTTCTCCATAGATGCAAAAATCGTGGGATGAACGGCTTGGAAAGTGGTCAAGCAGCACGCTTGCCTGATCGTAACATTCCTGAACGTATCAGGCATCCCCAGTTGCACATGCTGAAAAGATTGACATATTCAATCCTCCGTTTTTGAGTGACCGGGTTTGACACCACTTCCTTTCTCATGGGTTACAACCGATCCCCGAACATGTATCCTTGCAAGCCTGCGTGACTGCATCTCCAGTCGAACTCGGTGCACCTGTGTTCATCCTTCTCTGTCTATAGGACCCAGTTCTGCATCAGAGTTCTTGTTGGTTCACCACAGCGTCAGCGCAGCATAACTCAGAACATCTGCAAGCCGTCTATTGAACATGTAAGATTGACATCGCAGGCATTATGGCAATCGCAAACTGCGATTCGCTTTTCGTGTTCAAGCAGTGATCCCGGGCGCTGTGCAATGCAAAATGAGAGGCTTCACAGCCCATGCGCCCGTGACTTTCTCAATCACTGCACACTTTAGGACCTGCTTTCGGCTGCGCCCAAGATAGTCTCTAGGCCCTGACAAGTCTCAAAGCCGACGGCGCATATATTGTATGTGTATTCTCGAAGGTGACGGACGTGTCGATTCCGTCGCTCGAGTTTTGCCAGGTTTCCGACACAGTGTCTCTCAGAAATTATGTAGGAGGAACGTCGGGCTTGTCCAGAAGCAGCAGCCAGCGATCGGTCGAGTCAAGAGGAGCAAAATTAAGAACTCCTGGTCTCTGCCTTTGCATGCGCAGGCTTACAAGAGACGGCACCCGCTTTTCATTTAGAAAAGCCCAATGGTGTTTAAATCGGTACGGCATGAAGCTTGACCTAGAACCCCCGACTTAGATGCAATACGTACAGTATCCTCCAGATGCCATGACCTTTGCATCAACTTTCTCGCAGAGGCACTTACCGGTTTGACGACAAAGAGACCAGCAAGACCATTCCAGGGAACCCTACTGCTTTCCCGGGTACTTTGTGACGTTATGTGGTCGTGCTCAACATACCCTTAGCGATAATATAGCTGGTCCTGCCAGCACACGACATCACGCACCAAAGGAGCTTCTGATTGCGACTCACTATTGAAGATCTTCTTGGGGAGTCTGGAGCCACTGCTTTACACCTCCAACAGTCCAACCCTCACCTCAAGCTTATACACGGCTGAATGTCTTGCTCCGTCTCGAGTCAAAATCTTCAAACTTAAGCCCTGAGTCGGGGCAGAGAGAGAGATATACTACAGGCATGCATACATAACATACTTACATGCATGCAGAGATAGATAGAAGATAGATAGATAGATAGATAGACGGACAGATATCGACCACACCCACGCACGCACCCAAAGCACCTCGTCCACTAACCAGTTGGCTACGTCGGGCGCATCACTGGCTCGCCAAGGCGAAGCATGAGCTCGGGCCCAAAGTTTCTGAGGGGTGCAAAGGGTTGAGGGTTTAAGGGTTTAATGTTTAGGGGTTCAGGGTTTTAGGGTTTAGTTTAATGTTCTGCTGTTGAGGAGTGTTCGCTGGCACACAATCCAAGCCCATGCTGAAAAGGGCTGGCACACAATCCAAGCCCATGCTGAAAAAGGGTGTTAGGGTTTAATGTTTAGGGTTTTAGGGTTTAGTGTAATGTTTAGGGTTTTAGAGTTTAGGACTTTGAGCTTCTAACTTCAGGATATTTCAGGATCGATCAGAAGCTGCGACGCTCGCCCAGCCTCCGGAGCACCAGGCATTTTCAAGGCTTCAGCCTTTGACGGGGCTTCTCTGCTAGAACATTCAAAGTCGAATGAAAGTGGGGGGTAAGTCTGGCGCTATAGTGCTTCATATCAGAACTGCGACTGGATTGCAAGGACCTACCGGTTATATGCAACCACACCTGACAGAATGCTCAGGACCGGCTGAGCACGCTTTCGAGCTAAGAATAAGTCCGCTGTTTGAGCCACGGCACTGCACTTCCAAAGTCTCCGAGGCGCAACTACTACCGGTTCATGAGTCTTCCCATGGATTCATCCAAGGAGGATATCAGGCTCGCCGCATGTCTTTTGTGTCAGAAGCTTTTGTATCGTGGACTTGTGCTTCTTGGACAGGAAGCAGTATCGACGCCTGTGTCTGCTCGCAGCCTCAGAGACAACTTCCGGGGCTGTCAAGAACTGTTTGGGTGATGGACCAGTACGCACGTGGATTCCTAGAGGTTATGCTTGGGCAGAAGGAGAGATTAATCTCAGGGTCTCATGATGTTCTGATGTTCGGTTGTTGCGAATCCGAAGTCATGAGCAGGGCATCCTTGCCTTCATCCCAGCGTCCCTGACAGTTCGCCTGAGGCTCTGGCATCCCGACAAGAGCGGTGAAGAGTCTGAGAGCGACAGGCTGGCCATGAGAGATTCTGCACCCTCAACCATCGAGAGCTTGACTCATACGAGTATAATATGATATGCTGCTACCAACAGTACCGTACCCCTCATTTGAAAAAGCCTCCTCTAGGGCCCAGGAGCTACAGGCACAGGTTTTGGGTTTGAGCCTTGACGAGGTCTGCTCGCTCGGGCTCCTAAATGCAAGGTGGACTTCCCCGCTCCTGCAAACGAGTCGTGGCTCACTATGCCGTCCACAACGAGACGTCGGTGGAGCGGACAACCGCAATAAGGACAAGTGAAGCACGCCGCTTCGACAGTTGCAACAAGACGGAAGTCTCCAAAAATCTCCAAGCATATAAGAGAGCTCTCCCTTAGAAGGGGCCCCCACCCTGTAGTAGTGACTATATGGATTATATTAGGGCCCTATTATATATTGCAGGGTGGGGGCCCCTTCAAAGCTTTCCCCTCCAAACAAAAGGCCAGGACCCGCCCTTCGAACCGAGCCACCTCGAGACTCCCAGCCCTTCACTGAGAGATACCAAGAAGATTAGCAAGGTCCTCACAAATGTCGAAAAGTGTGGGAGTGTTATACAGGGGCCTTAATAATTACCTCTACCTTTTGGGGGCTCCTTGTTAGAATTATAGTAGAATGGATCCCAAAACCCTATTCTGATTATTAAGGCCCTGAGTCCCTGAGCCATGTGAACTTGATGCAGGGCTCGCTTTGAGGAGCTTCAGATGGCCCATCGGCGCCATGCTCAGTTTGGATTGGGAGTCGAGTGTTGTGAGTAGGGCAGGGGAGGGTTTTGGGATTTGGGGTGCCGCGCTGCATTTTCTGGGTGACATCCATGGAGACCAGATGCAAAAAGGGTGTTGTGGCACAGGGTTTAAGTTTGCTTAGGGTTGAGGGCTTGGGGAATTGCAGCTCGCATCCAGTATCAATCCATCCAGCAGTTGGGGGTAAGACGAGTCGATGCGATTTTGTGTGCAAAATCTCGTGGCGCTCATGGACCTCATCGAGAGGTGTCAGTCTACCGCCCTTCTCAGTGTTTGGTCCTTTGAGGTTTCTGCTGGACGACAACCAGCGAGAGGACGGGACAGCGGGAAAATCCGAATCCTTCAAAATCCAGCTAGATAAAAGATCCTGCCTGGGACAGCTTCCTGGTCCAGTCAGAACTGCATACCAGCTATTGGGGCACTCCTCGTCATTCCTCGTCCGCCCAGAGCATGACTGATATCAACAAGTTTGAAGTTGTGGATGTTGCCTGTGTTGGAGATATGCAGCATTAGGTCTGCATGTTCTGCGATAAGGAGGGATCGCAAGTCAGTTTACATGTTGGAGCTTTGTGGTTGAGGGTTTGAGGCTCAAGTTGGCTGGGTGGTTTAATTCCCCTAAGCTTCACTCGCTGTTCAGACTCGCGTGCTGAAGCGTTGGATGTAACCATTTTCCCAACGGTGCCCGGAAGCTTCAAGATCAGCGGTGAGTGGTTGCACATGCCCGTCTGTAATTCGGAAGTTCTGTCTGCACAAAGGAGTACGACTTCGGACTGTGGAAGGACCGACCAGCCTCTTGACTCAGACATACTTGAGCCGGTCTAGAAACGATAAAGGCGCAACTACCGCTTGTGAGAGTAAGAGTGAGAGTGAGAGGGCTGAGTTGCGTTGAGTGGAGTGACTGAGTGACTGAGTGAGCAAGCGAGCAAGCGAGTGCATGAGTGTGTGTGGGGGCGGAGGATGGGGGGGACGCATATGGACCCATATGGACCTTAAGTGTTGCGGGCATGTAGCGGTAGCGAGTGCCTCTCGATGTAATAGTCTTGTCTTCAGGTAAGGCATCACACGAAGAAGCGGGACAAAGTGCAGCTGGCTCAGCAATTGCATTCTTGTCAGAGGCTGGCAGGACGGGGATTTTGCCTAAACCCCTAATCCCTGGTGTTTGTGCCACACGACTACTCAAGGCGACAGCCAGTCGATACATTTTGCTCGCATCGAAGCCAAGGAGGGATTCCTGGGACGACCGCAAGCCCAGCGAAGAAGAGGAAGATGCCCCGCGACACCACTACAACTGGGGTGACAGGCGATCTGCTGTGCCATGTTTTGAATGCCGAGCTGGTAACTTTCGCAAGGTCCGTAGATGTGGATCGGCGGTGAGGTAAGCGGGTTGATGGGTTTACTATGAAACGACTCCAGCTGCGTCAAGCAAATCGGATGTGCGCGAGCTTTTTGTGGAACATGACGACCCGGGCGATTGCGGTATGGCTAGTGTGTCTTCAGCCAGTATCCGTGTCACTACTGGACGAGGCATCTGATTGAAGATGACAAGGTCCAGACCTCGAGTGCTATGCAACATCTGGATGCAGACATGCTTGGGGCTGGGCAGCCCGAAACAAAACAAGCAAAAACGGGCTTGTGCTTGTATTGATGACGCTCCAAGCAAGTGACTTCATCATTCGCATTGGCCCTTTCAGTTGGGATGTTCTCAGTTTCGGGGATGGGAAATGATGGGAAGATTTTTAGATGAATTTCGAACGGCTTTGGACCGGAGATCAGAAGCAAGATGAGGTGGAAAGCATCTACTGGGGCGACGCCGGCTGCAACTCGTCCGAATTCAGCATCCGTCATTAGCGGACAATTCCCAAAACCTTTCCCTACGCTGAGGGGAACCTCTGACGGCTTCCGAGCCTTAGCACATGCATCAGGGAAACAGTTTGCACGCAGCAGTGTTGATGCATGATCACTGCTTGTGCCACTATTACTGCTGCTAGCACCGCTTTTACTGTTTCCCCGGTGGCAAGAACTACGGTCCGCTTTCCCCTGTTGCTACTACAGGTACCAGTGGCAGCAGTAGCACGGCGATTGCTGCTAGCAGGAGTCAGTAGGCGGAGGAGTAGTAGTAGTAGTAGCAGTAGGAGTAGTACTAGTACTAGTACTAGTATACTAGTACTAGTACTAGTAGTAATACCAGTGTACCAGTGTACCAGTGTGCCAGTGTTAGTAGTAGTAGACGTCGTAGTAGCAGTAGCAGTAGCAGTAGCAGTAGCAGTAGCAGTAGTAGTAGCAGTAGCAGTAGCAGTAGCAGTAGCAGTAGCAGTAGCAGTAGCAGTAGCAGTCGCAGTAGCAGTAGCAGTAGCAGTAGCAGTAGCAGTAGCAGTAGTAGTAGTAGTAGTAGTAGTAGTAGTAGTAGTAGTAGTAGTAGTCTTACTAGCAGTTGCAGTAGTCGTAGCAGTAGCCGCAGTAGCAGTAGCAGTATCACTAGCACTAGCAGTAGCAGCAACAGCAGTAGCAGTAGCCCGATTATACAAAGAACCATACTATGGATCATGTTTAGAAATTCTTTTGCAGCACGGCCCGAGCATCCCTGAAGCTCCTAAGATTTTTGTTCCGCAAAGCCAATATGATGTCCAGACTCGAGGTCCCGTGTGGCTCCAAGAAAAGAGAAAAGAATTCCAGAGGAGGCGGTACGGCGAGGACGGGTTGTGGCAGACACGGCAGCAAATTTCAGTGCGCACACGATCTCTGCACTCATGCAGAATGAGTCTTTGGATAGCTTCAATACGAAACCAATAGTTGATGATGGGATTGTACCTTTCAACATATGGTCCGCTGAGGTCACATGGTTGTTTCTTCGTACCGTGATGCGTAGTCATACAATCCTCGCAGCAGCAGTAGACCCAGAGACTCCAACATCCCTTAATTAAATTAAGGAATATACCTTAAAATATAGTAGGAACCCTAATGTGATTCAACGAATATTCCTTAATTAAGAGATATTGGAGTCTCTGGGAACTTGCCAGGGCCCTGGTCGCTTTGCGTGAACTGGGCCTGCACACGATCGCGCTTGATTGGGTTCAGACTACATATGGGTGGCTGTCAAAATTAAGGGTACCCTAAATAGTAGGTGCTGATGTATGATTATAGGGACCCAAAAAGGGACCATAATTTGCCAACCACCCATATGGGCAGCTTCGTGATGTTCCTGGCGTGTCCATTGTGTGTTCTCATGATGTGTCTCGACGTAGACTTTCTTTCCGAGTTGTTGGCACCTCATGAAAGTTCTGTGTCGTATCTTTATCCATTATTGGTTTGCTGGACGCTGTGGCGCTTGCATGCGAGGTTGTAGCACAAATCACGCACTGTCAAAGATTTCTGCACTTCCTGGTACCGGGCCCCTTCGAAT